GAGATGAGGTAGCATTGACTTTTCTCATGAAAATAGAGTTCTAATGATTGTTTCTCATGTTTTGATGTTCCTTTTCATATCTTTAAAAAATGCAGTTTAGAAAGCTGGGCACCAGTGGCTCACGCCTGTAATCCTAGCTACTCAGGAAGCTGAGATCTGAGAATCATGCTTCAAAGCCAGCCCAGGCAGCAAAGTCCCTAAGACTCTTATCTCCAGTTACCTACCAGAAAACTGGAAGTGGTGCTGTGGCTCAAGTGGTAGAGCACTTGCCTTGAGCTGAAGAGCTCAGGGACAGCACCCAGGCCCCATGACCGACAAGAAAAAAGAAAAAGGAAAGGTAGTTTAGCACATTCTTATGGTTCTAAAGATGTTCCTTTTATTATAATTACTCACTGGACTGAGTAAACCCTGCAAGCACATCAAGCCACAGAATGAGAGTGAAGAGTGGAAATACAATGTAAAGTCTTGCTGTGAGGCAAAATGCCTACATTGAAACCCACTTTGTGACCTGGGAGATGACTTTTATCCACACCTCAGTTTTTTTTTTAAATCAATAAAGATGCGATATCATATCATATGAGCTCAAGAGAATTTTCTCAGTATTTTGTGATGCTCAGCTATTTAGTAGTTGTAAAGATTAAAAATTGGGTTGAGGATATAACTTAGTGATGGAGTGTTTGCATTGCATTTGCCAGGTTCTGGGTTCGATTCCTAACACCCTGAAAAGAAGGATAAAAAACCTCCCCCCACACACAAATTATTACTGCATAAAGTTCATTTTATAATATATATGTAACTCTAATTCTTTTTTCTCAAACATTTTCTTTCCATTTCAAGTCTCTTTTTCCTTTAAAATGTTGAAGGTTAACTTCCTAAGAACCACCTTGACTCTCATTAATAGCATTGTGTAATAAGCTGAACTATTAATGCTGTAAGAATTCAGTATAATTCTATTTAATTTATTATTTCTCCAAGATAATCAAAAGAAGCACCACGTTTCTTCTCTTTGACCTATTTAAAAACTGGCCAAATGGAGGTGGTACTTAATATTAGAAGATGGCACAGTCTAAAATGAAATCTTGATTATTTTAGTAATTGCTACTGCAAGGTTGATTGATTGGTGCTAGGGTTTGATAAAATTTGAGTGTGGAAAATTTTTCCATTAAAAATTCTTACTTATATATAAGGCGACATGTTCATATATTGTGGGGACAGTGTGTGGGCATCTTGTAGAGCCATTGTTCTGCCAAACACAGACCTTTTCTAGAAATTAATATTGTGCCCTAGATATCACTTCCTTGAAGAGATCTTCTAGGACCCAGAAACCCTCATTATTACTCTTGGTACTTGGTTATTCTCGACAGCATAAACCTGTTTTTATTAAATCTGAGATCTGTGTATTTGTTTTTTAAGTTTTTTTAAGCATCTAATCATTCGCTTTCTGCCTCCCTCTATTAGTTCTACTAGACTAGAAACAGTCCTTTTCATCACCTTGTCACTAATACCTAGTATTTCCCAGAACTTGATAGACTCTTAAATGTTTGCTGAATGAGCCAATTGGTATACAGTCGAAAGAAGCCTGCCTTACATTAAGATTATATAAATATACACTTGTACCTATAGCTATTAATAATGCAAGCTTCTTTTGTTTTACTACAAGCTGTCAACATATTTTCTTTTTAAGCGTATGGGTCACTCTTTGAAAAATGATTGTTTTATAAAACAAGACCCAGATGTAAAATGGAGCTTCAGGAAATAGAAAATATAACAATTAGACTAAATTCGCTTGTGGTAAGATGGCTGAAACTGGAGAACATTACATGAAGTGAAATAGCCTGAGAGAGGCAGACAAATATTCTGTATTTCTCATATGTGGAAGCTACAAAAACATTGATCTTAAGGTTGAGGAGAACAGACTAATAATTACTGGAGGCTTGGGATGGGAAAAAGAGCTGGCTAGAAGAAGATTGTATATAGGTGTCAAAATATAGTTAAATAGGAGGGATAAGTTTAGCTCATAACAACCTGTAATAGATTTTAAGAAGAACTAGAAGACAGGAACTCAAGGGCTCTAAAGCATTATGAAATGGTAAGAAAATGGACATGTTAATTATCTTGATTTGATCTGCACATATTTTATAAATGTTTTGAAATATGTCATTATGCCCATAAGTATGTATAATAATCATAATAATTAAAAAATAAAAAATAATTAGAATTAATGTATATAGTAAACACCCTGCCAGAAAAAGAATGTTAGTATTACCCTGATCCAAATTGTAATTATATGATGCCAAGGTAAACATCATATGGTCTCTGCCCCAGTTATCACAGATTTACAATGCTAATTTCTCTAAGTCAGAAGAGACTGAGATAAAAGCTGTAATAGTCTTATGTGCTTAGGAAGAATAGAGGCAGGAGAGGTTCATTTTAATTGAGACATCAATTCTGGTAAGTAGGGCTTTTCCTTGGCTGTTTCAAAAGAGAGCTTTAGCAAGTTGGGAAGCTCGAAGAGCTTTTAGGCAGAAAGAGCATTATCTATTGATACTGCACTAACAGCAAGCCTGAAGGAAAGACTGCATTTCAATAAGCAGGTGATTTATAGCTGTTTCATGGTTTGTCTGTGCATCCAGGTAGTTGATATAACAACCCTCAAATGAACCAGTCAGGAAATACTAACGGAATATCTGATGCTGATCAGTACTAAATCCCTAGTAGGATCTTGACCTGTGGTAAGAAGAGGCTGGAAAAGCATAGGATGACTTCAAGGAAGAGAAGTGTCATGCATTTATTTATGTCCCCTGAAAATTCATGTGTTGAAGCTATGACTCCCAATGTGATTGTATTGGAAATAAGATCTTTAAAGATGTGATTAAGATTAAATGAATCTATTAGCATGGGATTCTTATTCCAATAGGATTGAAGTCTTTATAGAAGTAAGAAGTGACCAGGGGCAAGGCCATGTGAGGACATGGTGAGGAGACCACAATTTACATGCCCAACATACTTAAAGACATACTTAAAATCCTGGTTGGGGCTTGAATTCAGGGCCTGGGCACTGTTCCTAAGCTTTTTTGCTCAAGGTTAACACTACCACTTGAGCCACAGCTCCAGTTCTGGCTTTTTATTTATTTATTTATTATTTTTTTATTTTTTATCCCCCCCTTTCCCCCCCTCCCTCCCGGCTTTTTTTTATTGTGAAAATACTGTACAGAGGGGTTACAATTACATTGGCAAGATAATGAGTACATTTCTTATCAAGCATTGTAGCCTCCTCCTTTGTTTCCCCTTCCCATCCCTTCCCATCCTCCCCCTGCACCCCCACAGTTCTGGCTTTTTGGTAGTTAATTGGAGACAAGAGTCTCATGGACTTTCCTGCCCAGGCTGCTGTGAAGTGTGATCCTTAGATCTAAGCCTCCTGAGTAGCTAGAATTACAGAAGTGAATCACTGGCGCCCACCATCCAAGACTTTAAAAGAACAGTCCTTTCTTGCCTAGAAGTTTTAGTATTGTAAATTAAGCTTTTCTCTTTACCTAATACCATCCTTTCCTGCATGTGAAATCCCAGGGATAGTTGAGGTGCCCTTAATGCTTCACAGAAATCCTGTATGTCCTTTCCTGGAATATTCTAGTTCACAGGGAGCAGCAGCACTGTTCTAATGTTTGTTTAAGAAATTTGTTATTACAGAAACACATAGCCATTCCAGTAGTTCACAATCCTACTGTTAGTATTGTGAGAGGCAATGAAACTGTCAGCTTTTCAGTTAGTTTATATGATCAGTTGATATATCAATGATAATTTTAATTTTAAAATTGTATCTTTTTTAGAGTCCCTTGTGTTTTTCTATGGGGCTTTATATGATGGCATGAGAATCTGCAATTATTTTTTTAAAATTTAATTTAATTTTATTTGTGAACATACTGTACAGAGGGGTTACAATTACATGGGCAGGATAATGCGTACATTTCTTACCAAGAATTGCAGCCTCCTCCTTTGTTTACCCTTCACATCCCTTCCCAGCCTCC